TAATAAATGACATCACGTTTTTCCACCATAAACAAACTGTATATTGTTGTATGTATGAACTTATTCTACTAAATAATGACGATATAAGTGTGTGTTTTAAGTAATGATGTGGTTTTTAATAAATCGAAACTTCGATGTGGGTGCAAGCTACAAATTTATACTCTTGTCCGTAAATCTAGGAACTGTGATTAAAATAACCCTTGAAGGCTATTAGGCTCGGACTCGAAGTATTGCCGAAAGTCGTGCCAATTTTTTTCTTAGCAGTGTTTAAAAATTTTTCTAATTAAAATTAACAAACTTAATAATTTTTTAACTGAGTACTTATATTATATACTTACTTATAATATTTAGTGATCTTATATGCTTAAAAATATAGCATATGTTACCATATTCAAACGTATTGAATTAATATTTCAATGTGTATAAATAATATAGGTGTATTTAACATTTCTGCACCGGTATCAATTAGTCTATAATCACTTTGACTTTCGCGCTTCTGTACCATAACCAATCTACCAGACTGTAATGTTTTCAATTTTCTCATTTTAATTCACTTTTTTTCTCTTTTTTATACTACGAGAAACTACATAATCCGTACTTCTGTGTTACAATGCACATTTAAACGACTTATACGATATTAGCAAATAAGCATAAATTGTATTTATTTTACTTACTAGGTAGGTAATTAATATACAAAGGTAAAACACGTACTATATATATTGGTAATTGTTAAATATAATATTAGATATTAATTACCTATCTACAAATGTTGGTCAAAAATGATTATATTTTTATTTCCTAAATTAATGAAACTCTCTTATACACTACCTTACACCATATTATTTTATATTTGCATGTATTATTTTAGATTTTGATGCATCTATATAATATTATAGGTATTCAATTAGACACTCCACTCCCGTTACAAATAACAATAGGTTGTTAGTAGCAAATTATCTTCCAACAACTCTCATACCTTGAATGTTATAGTCTTAAATTGAATAATGCAAGCATCTGGGAGAATATTTTGAAAATAAATTATGGATACACATAACTTATAGGTAGGTACATTATATGGGTGACACACCTAAATCACACGCGCACCAGTCAATTATTTTGTAGTCCGTAACCGTATTTCCGTTGGTCATTTCCTGCGAATAATAAAAATATTCCCTATCACATTAAAAAAAAACTCATACAAAATATCATCTCGCACGCACATAATACTGCAGTAACCTAAAAGTGGCGATACCTATGTAGGCCATAAGCCCATAACTATAACACTGTTCGTTATAAATATTTGTCAGTCACCTTGGCGTTTATATGTATTGTAGGTACCCACGTGTGTTTAAAATACTTTTTTCTAAATTAAAGTGTATTTATTGTTTATTGCTCTGAATTGGTTTAGTTTATTTTCTAACAATGGGTCGATGGGTCATAGAAGCATATATATGTCAAATATTCCTACTTCTTAGATTTAGACAATTGATAAAGTTTTTAATAATAGGTATATTCGTATATGTACCAACGTATTTATAAACAATTACACACAAAGTCGATCTGTACCATTTGCATGTACCGTGTTTATTGATAATCTCTAATCAATAATCATTATATAATGTGATGTGTATTGGACAAAACAAAGAATTTATAACTTTTGTTTTGAATAGAAATATTATATTACAATTCAAAAGTATACATTTTAGAATTTAGATTTAAAACATATAATGTTTTACGAATTTAATTGTATGAATATAGTTTTAATCCTTTATTTGACATTTTGGCCATTTTTTTTAAGTTTAAAATACTTTTTGTTTCGGTTTATGAATTGTTGACGTAATTATTTCTAAGATAGTTTATGTAAACAGTAAGTGAAACTTACAATGGCTAGTTCCAAATTGATTCGTTTCCAACCAAAAAAACCTTTTCTTAACCTTAACCTAAATATATCAGCATTAGTATCCGTCCATCTCAATATTATTCTCCCATAAATTTATCAAAGTAAAATATACCCATTTAACGTTCATACTAATTAGTTTCTTTAATTATAATCTCTAATTTATTATGACAATAAGCAATAACCAACTCAACATTACATTTCATTGAAAGTAGCTATGTTATTTATGTGTACAAAAAACCTTAAACAGGGCTTTCACTGCACCGAGCTGTGTCGCTTTGAGTTGAATATATATTCAATTTATTAGTAACTTGTTACCAATATTTTATTGCCCATGTATTAAATAAATAAATATACGGAACATGATATGAGTCGGTGTATAGAGTAAATCCTGCTTTTTATAAGTCTCGTGATTTATTTATTTTTTATACATAAAATTCATTTTAATATTTTAATATTGGCCAATAAAAATGACGATCTTGTATTAGAGCTTTTTTTATTGTAGTTGAATTACTTTTTTACGCTCCCAAATGTTTGTTACCAAGATCGGAAATTGCAGTTGCGTAACATAATTGATATGGAAATTAGGAAAAAAAACCGTCACGTAACAGTTCTTTGACACTGCCTATACAGATTTGATGCTTTCCCATAGTACCTAGATATAATAAGTAATATACAACGATAACGCATTCGATACGCACATCACCAACCGTGCGGTGGCTATCATTGACATAATCCTATATGAATTTAGAAATTTGTTCTCATCAAGTAATACCAGTTGTTACCAATATTTTTGGTCTTCAAAAATTAGATCCTATTAAATTTAGTGATATTAAGAAATTTATTTTTCCCATACAGCAATGGCCACATCCAAAAAATAAATATTCGTGGGACATAAAAAAAAAAATAGTGACGTAATTAAAGACAATGAATTGACAACACTTCCGAAAATCTTAATCCATCTTTATTCAAACGTATGGTATTCAGTCAAAAAGTTTGCCAAAATCATGTTTCAAGACGTGTCAATTATCTCGGTAGTCGGTATCTATTATACATTTGTTTTAACGTGCTATCATAATATTAAGCAAATACGAATGTACGTCTCTTGTCTCAACGAAATCTCTTTAAGGGTATCTACTATCTAGGTGAAACAGTTAATATTATGTTTAAAGTCGATAACTCTGACTTTTACATACTATATGATACTAGTTATATATAATATTAAGACTAGTATGTATAGTTGCAAACACTAGATGTGAATGAATCATTGCATGGCGCCAACATTTTTATTGTTTAAAATGTATGCCTAAATGGCAATGCATAGGTATAAACATAAATATGTTATAAATAACAATAACAATCACAATAAAATATTAAATAACTAACTTTTCAATTTGTATGTTATTAGATTGAACAAATAATAATTTACCTAAGGGTTTTAACATATAATAATTAGGCGCATACTAGGTACCTCCCGAAGTCAAAAAGGTCTATAGTTTTTACATGAATTATGTACTAACTATATACGATTTTCCGGTTTATCCTAAATTTTATCTTAAAAGAAAAGGGTCTGGAAATAGTTGCCTAACAGTGGGCAGGTAAATGTTGTAATAAATGTATGAATGGTTCCTAAATAATTCAAACATTTTATAAATACACTTATAATTATAATAAAATGTTATAAATGTGATTTTTTGACCAATTATTTATTATAGTACTAATTTTTAATATGAGTGCATTATTTGTATAAAATATGAATATGATATGTACCTATAATGCCGTGTCCAAAGTAAATCCGAAATGCGTCCGGCGCATCCGTTTGATGAGGCACAAGACTGATGGTTTTTAATCGTACTAAATGATTTTAAGTATCTAAAAAACAGTGTTTAATTTTATTATTACAATATTCCTAATCATTTCAGTATGAAGTTCTTCCTAGAATTAAAATGAAACCACTTGCTTACTATTATACAACAGAAAAATATCTATACATCCATAAAATCCTTTATTATGTCTTATTAAGTATATTAATTTATAAAATATACATTTTTTATAATTAATTAACCCGCAGCAACATAGGCCGTTGGGTAGTTTTTTCGTAGGTTATTAACTGTGGGGGGAGGGTACAGTTGGCTTGGAACACTTGTATGTGTGGCAAGGATTTACCACTGAGAGAATCCGAGTGGTCACCCATCAGGGAACTAGTGGCACCGAACGGTGCTGACAGTCAGATCACATCTGTGTCTGAAGCCAGACACCGCGTCACTATATTATATTAAAATATAGAGGTAAACTTAAACTTATTTATTACAATTGTAACACATTATATATTATGATGCATACGTATATAAATTTATATATTTACGAGGCACCATATTTTTGTGAAGTTTATGAACTACTATTTAACTCTACCTACCTATTGGTAGGCAAATAGTGTGAATATTTTTGGAAGGCAATTCGTATTCGTACATAATTATGAAATACCTGATCATTGGAGACAACTAGAGTACACCAACCTATTTATTTACGATAAGGATGGGAGGCAACTAGTATAGTATACACCGTAATAATTATAACATAAATGAACGTGTCGTAATGTTATTGACGATTATATTCTAGTAGAAAGTACCTATAGTAACAATACAAATGGTAGTATTCTTTGTGGCGTGAAGCTAAAAACCAAAATTTATATTTCCTCCCTTGAAGAGGTTTGCACTTAAAAAATAAAAATATTACTTATTAGTTATTACGATAAACCAAAAACAAGAAAAACTAACATGATATAATATATTTTTGAATGTAATAAGAGCGCCCCGTATTTTCTTGTAGTCCGCAAACTTGACAACACGAATGTTGCTTATTATGCCTGGTGTGATACGTATTATTTTTAACTGTTTGTTGTTATAATAATAATAAAATAAAATAATAATATCATTATTTAATTTGATTATATTTTAAAAATGACTCAAAACATTTTATTTTACAATTAAGGTTTACACAAAATTTTAAAAAAAGAGTTGTATGTTTTATTTTTTATTTGGGTAGGTTTGTTATTGTATCATAACTTATTATTTTAATTATGCCTTTATTTTAATTTTTGCAGTAAAAAGTGAACAAGTCAACAGCAGCACTAATCTTTATCAAGAACAAAACGTTACCGATTTGATTACGTCCAGCTACGGCGTAGGCCCCACTGACGACAATGGTAGACCGTTGTTCGGATTGAGAGCTCTCAGGAAAAACAACGCCACTCAATTGGTTGGAAGTGGTGAGTAAAATATTATGCGAACCTCGCTGTTTACTTACGCGTTTCCCAGATCAATGATCTATCTATACTCCTACGTTGCGCATTTTTGTTATTGAGACTTGTTGTTTCTTCTCCAGCTAACGATTCGTCGTCAACTGCCCGCTGCGAAGCTGAATCGCGCCACACTCAGGTTTCTGATCAAAAACATAAATCGTTCGGTCTGAAAGCGCTACAATCCGAGAACACGTATACGGTACAAGAGTCGTCAAGCACTGTGTACCAAACAGGGTCCGATCAAAAAGGGGGCGTCGATCAATTGATCACCGACCACAAGGGCAAACCGCTTTTCGGGCTGAAAGCATTGCAGAGCATCGGCAAAAACGAAGACGAACCTATTTACGACGACATGCCAGAACCGCCGGTATCCCCACAACTAAAGGATCTGGTGCTCAAGCACGAAAAACACGCAAGTAAGTTGTTTATAGTGTTTATCTTCATGTTTTACTGCAGAGTATATGGGTACAATATTATAATTTATAAAGCTTCATAAATTGACGTATATTAGCAGTTATTGTTAATTTAAATCATTACATCAAAATGTTCAAAACTCCAAACAAATGTTGAATGTCGAATCGCGTGTTGTTGAGTGCTGTCTACGTATTAGGTTACCTACTTTTTATACAACGCTTTTATAATTGTTTAAGTTTATATATCATGATCAGGAAATATAATTATTATTCTATTTTGTTCACTTGAAGTACAACACAGGCCTATCAACACTTTTTCATTATGGAACTAGTAAAAATAAATTATAATTAATATGTATCGGTGTATAGGTTAAAAGTTCAAAACTATTTTGTGTTAAAGTGTTTTATTGTATCCTTATTAAATAATTAATATATTATGTTTATTTTAGAAGAGAGTTCCAAGCTAGACTTACAACCTAGACAAAAACCAAAAGCAAAATTCCGAGATAGTTTTATACTTGATACTAAAGATGAGGGTTTGTATTCAACTTTTGAAGAAAATGGATTCACAGACCCCAACGAAATTACTGCGTTGCGTTCGATCATTAAAAAAACAGAAGATGATCAAAACAATGGTATTTTAATAAAATTAAAGTGGATGATTATTTTTAAATAATTCATAAACTTTTAAAATGTTTCAGAAACTATAGTTAAAAGTAAAAGTCAATCGACAGTATTTCAATCAAAGAGTGTTATGCGGTCCGATGGATCTGGAAACGTTTCAGTCACACAAGATTTCTTGAAAGGTTAGCACCGACACATGACCATATATTTTCAACTTATTTATTTAATTGCGTAGTCTTATTAAATTAAATTTTGCAATAAAACTATTGTGAGAAATGGCGAGCTTATATTATATATTTTATGTTATGTAACAATGACACGTGATTGAGCGTTAGGCTAGGTGAAAATAAAACAAAATAATTCAAGTTGGACTACGTCCAAAACGTAATTAAAACACAAAAAAACTCGAAGCACTTCAAAAGCCGTTATTTGTGTATGGCAACGGCAAGTGCTAAGACTACTATATTATTTCGTTCAACTTAGTGCATCATATATTTTTAAATGAAACCTTCTTGGGACTGTGTCTTGAATATTGGCCTAGTTTTTAGTTTTCTAATATTTTCGTACACATGGCCCATAGTGTTTTTTCTTTTTATCGTAGCTCTTATAATTTTTCAAATTACACAAATACAATGGGAACATAATTTGATTTTATCAGGTACACAATTTTTTGTCAGACTTAACTATAATTCAAGTTTTGCATTTCATGGTTTAAACTTTAAACCATTATTAGAAATATATTTAATTTTAATATAATTTTATAATTCTGGGGTATGCTGTAAAATTACAATAGAGATCCACATAAAAACATGATATTTGATTTGTTATAGGTGAATTGTCTTCTGTGAATGAACAAGAACCATCAGGAAAACTTACTCGAGGACATTACACCTATCAGAGCCCAGATAATTTAGATTCCAAAAAAGGCATTGCTAAAGTTACTACAGTCACAACAGCTATCGGCAAAGACACTGGTCCCCAAATTACTGAAATAACCGAAGAGCTCAGTGACAATGATCGAGTTGACGGAAACAAAGTAGTAAAAAGGAGTCGAACCAATGACAAATTTGAAAATATTCAGAAAAGGTTTAGCCAAGAAAGTTTTAATCAAGACAGCAGACGTTCATCCAAAGAATTAAATGGATATGAAAAACCTGAAGAATCGCCACAGTCCACTCCGAGATCGAGTTTGGTGCGCGGAGATTCAATCAAGGCGCTTCAACATAAATTTCAACAAGCCACTGGTAATTTATTATCTATTAGGCAGTGATGTTAATTCAACTTAGGTTGCTTAACTTAAGTTTACTTTTCAAGTACAGCCGAACTAGGTAATAATAACTTAAGTAACTTGAACTTTTTTAGCTCCAAAGTGTCAGTACCTCAAACTTTTTCCTGGTCCCTAGAATTTTCTATTATTGTATTATCACCCAATAATTCCTATACATTTATGGACAGTCCCTTCAATTTTGATTTAACCATTTCCAACTTTAATTTGATTTTAAATTAATTACATTTTAATGTTTATCATGTAATATAAGTTTCTTTTTTTTTTAGGTGGTAAAACTACTAAATTGTACATTACTTAATTATTTAATTATTTTTAATACATTTTAAGGACCAATTAATAATATATTATAGTAAAATATAATATTATATAAGTATGATTTTCTGATAGTTACAGTACAAGCTACACAATTACTTATACATTTGGAAATGAGTTATTATTTTTTAAAAATGTAAAAAATAGCATAAAACAAGGGCGCACCCAAGGGGGTTAGGTTAGCCCCAAAACATATTTTATTAGGTTTATTGACAATTGACATTTGACTTTAAATTATAATAAAAATAAATATCAACTATCGAAATTTAAACATTAGGTATAACATAATGTCATAATATTATATTATATTTATACCTGTCATTCCGGGCCCCGGGAGAAACCTCTGTTGTTTATTATTATCGTCGCGACGTCGTTAGTTGAAACTGTGTACTGTGTAGGATACCAGAAACGTCTAGATTATACATTTCTATCGATACAATTTAGTTTATCTCAAACCGCTATGCTTCATATTCACAGAGAAATCGATGTTTAAACTTCAGAAGTACTCTCAATAATGGGGAAAAAAGGACCAAGGCGTCTCAACTTTATAAGGTTGTAAACAAGCTTTAAGATTTCTGTACATATTTCAAAATAAATACTACCTATTAATATTAAAATTTTTTGAATTTAGCCCCCCCCCCCAAAAAAAAAATTCTGGGTGCGCCCCTGATGGAAATACGATATTATCATATACTTTTTTCTGCATTACTTATAATAAAATGTACAATGTTCGTTGGACATAGGTACCAAGTTACTGTAAAGTGTAGATGTTTTCTCTAATTAGCTAATTAATAATTCTTTATGGTTCTTTTTAAATTTATAATCATACTCTATAGAATATTTTATATATTTTTAATATTCTTATCAATCTGATTGCTATTTATTATACAGTGGTTATTTAATTGAAATATTAAACTGAATAATGTCATATTTGAGTAATTAATTGTTACAGTAGCATGTGAATTTTAGTTTTTGATTTTTTATAAAATGTATAAAATAAATGATTAATTAATAGACATTCAGATATTGATAGATTATAAATTATAATAATTAAAATAATAATTGTTTTATAAATTAAAAATTATATATTGGACTGTACTTGGCTGTTGACAATCAAAAGTTATCATTAACACAATTATAGTAAGAAATAAACTTTCTTTAAAATATTAGAAAATAGGTAAACCTTTATGGTTTTATTAAAAACAAAAAAAAAGTATTATATTAAAATGTTTTGGAGTTATTTTTGTCTACTAGTAAGACAATATTATGCTTTAATGCTTTATAGTAAATAATAAATGTAAACCTAACTTAACCTAATGAATTCTTTTATATTTCAGTTTCATCTAGTTTGAAACAGAATAGAACTGCTAAATCGGATGTGTCTAGTAGCTCTCGACAAGTTGAAGAAAAAACAGTAACTACTAAAGTGAATACAACAAAAAACAGTGGAACTGCTACATCCTTTCTTGACAACAATTCAAGAGTGACTGGTGTGCAAGATGTCTTAACCAGAATGCGAAATGCTGATCTAGGTAAACAATGATTAATAATAAAAATTTTAAATATATTTATAACCATATTAATATTATATGATATATGTATTGATTACTTAAAAAATATCAATGCTAATCTGTAATTATTTTTGTCAAATATTATAGTTGTAGAAAGTGGTGATACCAATGAAGACATTGAAGCCCGTGCACTTCTTAACAAATTTTTAGGCGCATCAGTCATCCTTCATGGAATGGAACAAGGAAACAAATCTCCTGCTTCAATTAATACTACAAGTAGCGCTTCACTTGTTAACCAAGTTGAAAAACAAAGAGCACAGGTACTACAATAATATTATGTTTGTAAATACTAAATACACATTAAAACATAAATGATAATGTAAAATTTAAAAGAAAAAACTAATAACTTAAAATTAAATCAAAGTTGGGGCATTGTTTGATATGTACTACCTAATTTTTGTTAAATTCACATATTTCTATGCAAGTTATAAATATCTAAGGCTGGTTAATTTTTTTTTACCTCAGTTAAGTCAAGTTAATATGCATTAATATCAAAAAGTTAAAAGTTGATTCAACAATTGGTTAACTCAGTTAAGTTAAAAGTTAAATAAAAGTGTGTATTAAGTTAAAAGTTAATACTCACTTTTTTAAATTTTTTATTAAACTAAAAATAGTTAATTTTTTTGAACAACATTGGCGTACTTTTTTTAACCAGCCTAAAACTAAATTATAGACTTCATTATTTATACCTTATATGGTATTCCCTTATAAGTTAGATTGGAATAATATACAATGTTTAACTTTAAACAATTTTCGGTACATATTTTTCACATGAAATAGATTGAAATAGTGAAATATAATGCAATTAAAAACAAAATAAATTAACTTAACTTACTTCTTCAAATGAAAAATAATTTTGTTAATTAAAAAATAAATTTATTAAGTTATTAGTTTAGTTAATAAAAATCGAAAAGTAACTAGTTAAGTTAAAAAGTTAGAATCAAAGTAACTTTTTAACTTTACTTATCGTTAATGTTCAGTTTTGTAAATATCTAATAATAGTATTTGACTAGTAATTTAATTTCTAACTTGTATCCATCACAGCCATACAGGTTACTCTAAATTATAGTAAAGGTAGGTGTTGATATTGTTTAGCACATTAAAAAATAAATATACATTGTTATCCTCCATACAATATTATACATTAGTACATGCAGTGACAAATTGGCTAAAAATGTTAATCAAGAAATTTAACATATTATCCGATATTACCCGTATGACTATACAGACTAATACCAAACCTGTTAATAGATATCAGTCCAAAACTAGAACACAATAGCCAGTGAGTCGACAGCATAATCAGCTGCAAATTAAAAATATTTTATATAGGTACTTAAAAGTATGAAAAATGTGTGTAACTAGAAGTTATAACGAAAATACATTGTGGGAAACTGGGAAGTAGGGAAATACACATTTAGTTCGTTTTGAAAGAAAAATAAATATATTTTCTAAAAAGTTTCGTTTACCTACCTATAAAACAACTATTATCCTTGTTATCTTTATTACCTTGTTTTAACTTTTTAGTACATTTTCAATTTCAGTTTCAGTATTAATATCAAATTAATAACTGTAAATAAATTGCATAAATTAAATACAATTTATTTTGTATTTTTGCATCTAATAAGTAAAAACAATCTGGCTGAATCGCTGAATAGTTTGCGGTTTTTTTTTATCGTGTATGTAATACTATAAAATAAAAAATAAAAATGTTATTTTATGGTATTTATATGTCAGAAAAACATTTAACGGTTGTGTTGATAGTCACTACACAATCGTAGTATATTACTAATGTTAAAAATAGCTTCATCTTCCATATTTCGTCTTAATGTTATTGTTATTTGTAACTTCAAAATAGTTATTTCATACAGTAAAAATTGTCCATCTTAAAATTGAATTTGTTTACAAAAATGTTTATATTTATCCAATGAATATATTATATAAGTACTTTAAAAATGGACACATTTTTGACTCAAGATAATTACTTAATAGTTTATACATGACAAATAAATGACTAGGTACCTATTTCAATAATTAGTTTCAAGAGTAACTAAAATACATTTTTCATGGTTTCCTGTCATAATTTTTAAACATGACGTGCGCCTTTTTAAACACTTTGTTTGACAATGTTAGTTTACAATTTATATGTTTATAATAGGTATTATATTAATATAATAATATATATATTATAATATATTGGTTACTTTGAGTATTTTAACAGTACCTATTACCTAAATCCTTCTGATAAAATATATTTTTCTTAACCAAGACTCATAATGTTTATTTATATTAATGAAAAATTTAGAACAATGCATATGTTTTTGCTTCGGTTAGTTTCCTAGTTTACATAGTTATATAGTCATAGTATTTTAAATATCAAAATGATGATTAGGATAAACATAGAGCACACAACATATGCCTACTAGGAATATCCGAATATACACAAACAATGAATGTTTTTTTTTAAATATTTACTAGAGGAATTCTACAATCGACAATCTGTACGGTATATTGTAAAATAAGTTGAAATAATAAACAAAAACAGTAAACGCAGAAAAAAAATAAATAATAGAATAAACATGTAGATTTGAGGTGAAGTGACCGTCCGGCTATAGCATTTCGGTATACTTAAAACACGAATCTATTATTTGAGAACCGTTTCCTACTAAATGATGTCACATACGAGTATTATATTAATAATTTATTTATATAAATATTGTCTTATACATTTATTCGTTTATAAATACGAAGAATATTTCAATCGCTTTGTGTTTGTTTACGGCGTAAACGCGCCGTGGCGCTTATTTGTTTCCCCTGCCCGGTGGCGACGTATATTCGAGCATTTGTGTATATTTCGTTTCAAACAATAATCGAGCTTATAAGGACGGCACCACCTGTCCGTTTGTACGTCGTTCGCGATAAATCAGTAACGAAATATGTTGGACAAAAAATCGGCGTCTTTGTTCAGACGCACGTTTACCGAACATAATACAACGGTCAATAATAGTATGACTACTCTACTAACAGTTAATTTCCCTACCCGTTGGACAACGCATTTTGGCTTTGCGCGTTTCACGACGAAAATAATATTTGAAGGCAAATCCTATTTTGGTCAGCGCGGTGGTTCACTCGACGTCGAATGCTCCGTTGGCCACGCAGTTCAGTTTATACTTGGCTACACGCGCAACTATTTCTGTGTATATTGAGTGTGTCCGTGTCGCTGACAAAAATCGTATTTATTTTTTTCTTAGTTTTCAAATAAGTAAGGAATTATTACTTAATCATATTTCTCACATTCGACTTTTATATTCGCGTCCGGTAAGTACCCACGTACAAGAAAGTGCAGTCCGACCGAACGGTTCGCCCGCAATCAATCGATTTTTATTGTTTTACGTTTTAGTTATCACTTACCGGCATAGGTTATAAATTACTGTAATATCGATACACAATTAGAGACGACGTTTGGCAGATTGGTCTGATCGAGTAGGTAATTAATTATATATATAATATAGGTAATTAATAAAACTTAAAATAATACAAACATCTGATGGTAATAAAATAATATCTATTCTACGATTTTAAGTTGAAAGATGGTCAGGTAGTTCATAATCATAAAGGTGTCTCCGAAGCCTTGCCGGTTGCCAAGAACACGAATCGGGCGTACACGTTTTGTTCTGCAGTCTGGTCTGTTCTCAGAATGTTAAAATTTCCACCCCGAATTTAAATTCGTTTTTGTTATTTGTGCTCATTTAGTTATTTCTAATAAGTGGTTGTAGATTTAACACACGGAAATCCCCAAAATCGTTGGTCCCATGAATATTATTAGGGCAATGTTTGGCCGTGTCCCAGCAAATAAAACATGTTGCCAACTATTTTTACAAGTGAATTCATAAATTTGTATTTATGTGTATTGTACACGAGGGTCCTTATTTAGATTGACACCTGTTAACACAATACTGACCGGTTAAATAGAACAAAGCCTTTTGTGTGTACTTTATAATAGCATATGAACATAACACTATTTGCTATTGGTTTTTTTTTCGTAGAAATCTCCTGTGATTAGGAAGAACCTGAACGAACAAGAACTCGATAATATTTGGGACGAAAAACAATTACAAATTTTGGTTAGTTTCATCACTCAATTATTTTATAGATAATTTACTTGTACCTACGTTTGTTTAACAAATATTTAATTATTTAGTTGGAATCTTGCCCAGACTACGATCAAAGGAGAAAAATCAGAGCCAGGTTAAGGCAAATCATGGCAGAACAAAAAGGTAACATAACTGCATTACAATTAATTTAATGACCAAATTGTCCTATGTTAAATTAGTAATAATTCAAACAATACCTACGCAATTATATAATTATTGTATTTATCTAATAAAATATAATATACGTAATAATTTATTAATATAAGTACGATATGTATATTGTAATTTTACAGAAAAAGAACATTTTCATAAAAATATTTATTTTAAAATCAAAATGACTTATTTCGACTTAGTCATAGTATTTAAATTTTTTTATCACAACAGTAAAATATAATTTATTTTTTAATTTTAAGTATCCAAAAATTAGTTAAACAGTTATAAGATAATAATGGTGTTAGGTTATAGTGTTGTTGTTATTATTAGAATTATATTTATTTTTCATACCTGCCAAAAAAATAATTGCTCAGAATACCTTCATTTTATTATATGCCGTGTATAGTAAATAAATTACAAGATCATCTTAAAAATAATTGTTAAAGTATAATAAATAGAATCGTTGAAACACAAAATATTAGTAGATAACAACATGTCATTGTGAATAAACTTATAAACTTGTAATATTATTAAGTATAGGTACTATATTTATTTATACGACCAAAATCTTACGTAAACAAGTATGTCATCTCATTTATAAACATCGTAGAACGATGTCGTCGTATAAGATACATTTATATGTATATATAAACGTATACCGTAATTATATTTGTATTTACTATATTCTATTATATATTCTTAATCGCCTATATTTTTTTGAAACAAATTCCACTGGAATTCTGAGATTAGATTCTGGCATCATTTCATATTGTAACTTAAATTCAGCATAGAGTTGATATTTTTATGTTGGCATTAGCTCTTAGGCATATAAAACCAGGACATTTGAAATATTATATTGTATTATTAACTATTTCAACGATTGTTGATTTTTTGATTGTAGTATTAGTATACTTAATAGTGAGTAACTTCTATATATACTGTGGTTTTTTCGTTTCAATAATGGCAGATTATGTAGGTATATTATTCATAGTAATGTTATTTCAGCGTGTACGGACGTCGTCGCCCAGGCTGGCCTAACGGACAACACCTCGAGCAACGGAAAAAACGGTGAGTTATTGAAGCCTATGTGTAATTTAAATGTAAAACCTATCGCCACCGCGGTCGATGACTCGGGCACTGAGTCGGGCGAGGAAGTGAATCAAAAGATATTGGTGCAAGTGCAAGGGGCCTTGGCCAATCTAGAGAGCGCGTTGCCGGCCCTTGACCCACTCAGGCGTTCGTCCGTTGTCGAACTTCTGACGAAACTACAGACAAGCCTGAAGTTGTCGTCCATCGACCAGACAGGAAAACCGACGCCGCCACCCCGGAAGTGCTGGAACCGGAAGACCCCGGGACGGCAGGACCGGCACACAGTTGGCGTATCGTCCGAGGAACTGCAGGACGCCCGGCGATGGCTAGAGGAGAACGGATACGGTGGAACCGGAACAACCGCTTCCTCGACACCCGCGGCGGCATCCGCACGCAACACGCCACGGAGCTATGAAGTGGCCCCTCCAAAGACGTTCAGGCCAGTGAAATTCGTGCCGCCGCCGCCGAAGCGCACCAATCACTTGGCCGAGGACTGCGTCATACCGGAACCGTCGAGACATGCTCTGCAGAACTGCAACTCGTTCACGTGTCCCCCAGCACAGCAGTTGATAGTCGAAGACTTGGACTGCAACAGACGCAAGACTTCCACCACGACGACCGCATCGATTCGCGATTCGTCCGACTCGTCTGCGGGTGGGTCATCGTCGTCGTCTTCGTCCGGTGATGACGACGACGAAGACAGCAGGTCCGTTTCTTCGGCACAGCGGTTGCTGCAGTTCGCCTCCAACGATCACTGCCGCAAGTTACGGGTGCAGGGAAAGCGCGTGAAACTGAAACGCGGTGCGGCCGGCGAGCGGGAACGTTCGTCCGGAGAAGACGACGAATACCGGCCGCGGCGCGTGCCGCACATCAAGGAACCGCCGGCGACTATTTCTAGCGGCGGAGTGCCGTTGTTCGAACCTAAGACGGCCAACGATAAGAAATACTTAGCCCTGTTGCGGCACCAGGCCGAGACGGACGAGAAAGCTGCCACGGCGTCGGCTTACAACCCGTTGCAGGGCAAACTGCAGGGCAACTGGGGCAACCGTTTTGGTCGGATAAAGACGACGTTCGAGAGGAGGGTTGGCGGCGGCGGCGGCGGTGCGACGACCACCGCCTCGGCCGCTGTGTCGCCAAACAGAAACGTAGCGAAAACTTTTTGGCACGACATTTGCAAATGTCCGTCGGATGACAGCATCGCTTATTACCGACCGAAGAAGATCCCTTCGTTTAAGCCCAACGCCGCCAGCGACCAGTGGTCAGGAGAGAACCGCGGGTTTTCGCACGGCGCCCGGTCCGCGTTCAAGCCAGTTCAGCAGCAGCAACAACAGCTACCACAACTGAAGCAGCAACAACAGCAGTTTGCGCCACTGAAGCCGATCCCGAAAATAGAGACGTCGTTATTAGAGCCCCCGCGAACAGTCGCTTACCCGAAACGTCTGCCGTTGTACAACAGTTCGGTAACCACGGCTCACAGGCCGTTCGTGTACTCAGATGCGTCAGACGACCCGGTGAGTCCTCCCGCCCCATATTACGAATGTGTGCCGCAGCCGGCCACTGTGGTCAGCCGGGTCATGGGCAGTCCACAGACGGCCACTCTGGTCAAGAGCAAGCAAAGATCTGACCGGGTTGGTGGCGGCCCATCCTCGTTACATACGTCACCGTCGTTAAAAACTGTCTCGGCGCCAGTCCGTCAACCAGTGCCTTCGTCGTCGGTAAAAACGATTTCGGCACATCACAAAAATCAGCCATCTACTGCTCCCAAACCGCCGACTAGGAGCCCGCGGGTGGTGACACAACAGCGATCGCCCACCAACTCGCCGGTGCGTATGCCGTCGGTCTTGCAAAAGTCTGAGTCCTGGCACCAGATGATCGTAGGCCAGAGCAGAGCGGCCGCTCGGTCACCGCTCCCCCACATACCCGCGGCCGTGCCCGTCAGGCACGCGTCTGCCCCGTACGAGGGTTACATGCAGTGCAAACGGGAGATCGCCCAGAAGCAATCCATTGTCCGGCAACATTTGCATGCCGCCACCGATTCCGCGTCCGTCTTCAGACGCGCGTCTCCGAAACTGGTGAAGCTCAACGACGACATTGACAAAGTGGATGACACGTTCGAAAGCCTCTTTAAAGAGGCCACCAGACCGTCCAAATAGCGCCGGCCAGTCGTTTCTAATATGCGATCGTCTTTTAAAATACCAGTCTGCCCCCAACCCCCCACACCAAGCAACACCCCCTCGGCAATATAATTATTATAATGTCTATAAATTGTATTATTTTTTTCGTGATATATTTTGCATTTCGTTTTTATTCTTATTCTATATTATGTTATATCTTATATATTATACAATAATCATTATTTTATACAGCATGATGAGTGCACTGTATAATTTTATGTTTGCGCATTTTTTTTCTAGTCACAACAATAATACTACGTTATTACGTTATATGTATTTAATATTCTAAACTATGTTTCCTATAATCGCGTACCTATATCGTTTAACATGTATTTCTTTAATATATATATATATATATCATATACACATTATACACACACACATGCATCACTGCATTTTGAGAGGATATCCGAGGAGCGAGTGGATAACATTAAATCGAAGAGTGTCTATTCATCTGTAGCTATTCTTCGTGTCTATGTGCGCACTGCGTTGAACACCAATAAGTACGTTCTTGTGGTCGTGTCGTTTTGCGTGTGTGTTTTTCAAACAACAAAAAAAATATATTCGCATGATATCATAACAATAATATACAATAGTATAGTGATTGTTCTTTTGTGCTATAAATAATAATAATAATAATAATAATATGCTCTCGTAAAAGTCGTGTGAATGTGTGATCATATATAATAATATACCATCATGTTATCCTGTTATGTGTGCGTTGTTGAATCCGCTCGCTCGATTGTCCCCTAGTGTGTATAATATCATGGCCGAACGCAGCTGAATGACGACTGCAGCTTTTTAGTTTTCACTAGCACTTACGCATGTTTTCTTCTTGTTTTTATTATATTATTTTGTATTGAAACGAAATTTGGGCATTACACTTTATACTAATATTAATATTTTGAATTCACCCTATAGTCTGACCGAAACGTTTGATGTTTTTTTTTTTTATTGTTATTGTGTTATTTTTATACATTTTAATTATATTTGAGATATACAATATATAATATTTATATTAATATGTACACATGTATACGTATGCACAATTTTCAGCATTGTACAATATTGTTATGCATTTGTGTGTGATGTTAAATTGTATGTAATCCATTTTTACAACTTTTCGTTTACTTTTGTTTTAGAAGTTACCGAAACGAATTCGACAAGCGTGTCCACCAAAACCGGAACTGGATCGTATGTAAAAACTGAAGGTAGAATGACAATCAATTTAATCATTTTATTGAACGTAAATATTTAAAATCCTTTTTGTTTTTAGTGCATACTAGGACAACAACTTCTAGTAACCGTCTGACTAAAGGTAAATGGGCTTTTTTTATTAATTTATAGTTTTATACATTCCATCGAAACATGCAAATAATGATTTTAAATTACTATGTTCACAGCAAATAGCGTTAGTTCTTCACCGTTTGCCAAGTTCCAGCAACTCGAACGCCAGAACTCGGCTCCAAAGTAAGTACCTAATTTGATTAAATCGCAGTTAAATATTAAGATTAAATGCATATAAACTCTTCGAAACCCACATATTGGATTATTATTATTTCAAATACTAACATTAAACTAAAAGTAACTTGATTTATTAAATTATGTACACAGAAAGACTGATATAAATATTGATATACTTTCTAGCTTCATAATAATAATAATAATATTACATGTTCTTGATTACTTTATTTAACTCTAATTTGGTTCCGGTTGATGGATAAAAGTTTTAATTTCATGTGGGAAATTGGTATACTTAATCTTAAAATCAAAAACTTACAATATTATTTTTAAAAATAAAAATGAAATTATAAAATGATTACTATGTGTTATAACTTATGAATAAATGTAACTAAAAGTCATACTTAAACGATGTTGTGCAATATTTTAGTATTCAATAATTAGTTGTACCTATATTGATTCACGTACTCACATTCCATATACTTTTATATAGTCCACATGCTCAATTGTACGTACATTTATCATTATATTATCGGTAAACAATAATATTAATAAAAAAAAAGTAAAAAGTGATTACTTTAAAATATATTTTTATATAGTTGATATTTGTCATAAAAATAATATTGTGTACCCTTTCGACTATTTTATACTTAGGTACCTATCTATATCAAAACCATAATAGTACACAGCTAAGGCCTTGCCGCTAGGCTATATTATAGGTTTACCTATTTTTTTTTTTGTACAGAATATAATATAAACCTTTTATGTTAACTTCGGCATGTCATGCTTGAATGAATTTTCTATAATAACATATAATATAATGGTAACTCGGGGCGTTTTGCTTATAGCTCACAAACGCGTCCTTGCTATAAATTCACCGACCCCGCCCTGGCGCGGAGCGCTTCGTCAATCAAAGATCGCCTACTCAACTGGGTTAAAGCTCAGACGAAGGAATATAAGGTATACATTTTTGTTGTTTTCGTTTTATCAGGTTAGGCCACATATGCCTAATATGTACTATGTATAATATACCTATAGTATACAACTCATGGCGTCACGACGGTGTTTATTTTTATATTATGTACCCATGCAATATGCACTATGCATAATATATTAAAATATCTAAGGACTTAGATATATTTTATAACAGAAAATAATAAATAGCACAGCATTATAGTAATAATTTATTAGTATAATACCTATACATAATATTGCATAGTATTTTAATATCCTAAACCTAACAACGCATATATGGCTTTATTATCAGTTAATAATATTAGATAAACTATGAATATTATAAATTGTATTATTATAATGATGATTAACAGCGATGCATGTACAAATTAATCGTTTTTTATTTTATTACCTAATTTAGTACTTGTATTGTATAATATTTTTTTGTTTTGCCTATTTCATTAACCATGCTGTTTGGGACCTCAAACAACTTAACAAAATACTCGGTGTTTAACCAATATAATAATTTTAATTTAATTTAATTTAATTTATTTTATTTCGTTTGATTTAGTTTGCGTTTTTCAACCAATATTGTTATTAGATGGGTTGTGTTTAAAGCGATAGTATATTAATATATTTTTCTGTGTTGCATGTTTTCCATGACGTTTAGAACCTCCAAATAACTAATTTCTCGACGTGTTGGAGTGATGGTCTTGCGTTCTGCGCCCTCATCCACCATTTTTACCCGGAAGCATTCGACTACGATAAATTAACACCCGAAAAGCGAAGAGAAAACTTCGAAATTGCATTCAAAGTAGCCGAGTAAGTCGCATTATTTTTGTACCAATTGATAACGAAACAAATAGATTATATTATGTTCTACAACGACATTTGCACGGGGTAATTGTTTTTGTGTAACTTATATATTGATTAATGATTTTACTTAAACTGTGATGTGATCGATAAATTTTATTTACCGTGAACGTTAATTACGAAGACAAAAGATACGAAAATTTCGGTTTTCCCTATATTGGCTATATTATTTTATATATATAACTATCGACTATCTGGAATGATAAAGTTCCAAAGGTTCACTGTACATATATACGAGGCGTTAGGAAAAACTATCGAAAAGTTTTCCGTAACATAAGACGTTGAATACGAATATTTAATCATGTAAGAGAACAATATGAGTAATGCGGGTATACGCTATATATACCTATACATGTCCGTATACTATGTCACTCGGTCACTTACACTTCGAAATGCAAACACATGCTTTCTTATCCGTTTCATTTACTGGACAGTTTTTTAGACTTTGTTTGCTTTCCAGGGACGAAGCAGGTATCGCGCCGCTTTTGGACGTCGAAGACATGGTCGTCATGCGGAAACCTGACTGGAAGTGCGTGTTCACGTATGTGCAGACGTTCTACCGGCGGTTCCACAACGACCCCCGATCCGTCAAACCTTCGTACTTCGAAGGATGATAAAGCGGCGTCCTGTTTAATCCTGCGGCTACGTTTTTGGATGCAGTTCGCTAAAAATTATTACTATTTTATTGTTATTACACAAATTTTGTTAAAAAAAATCTATCATAAATCGTCTCGTACCCCTTCTTTTATATACTTGGTTAATTCGTCTATTCGATTGATCAACAAGTATAGGAACGATTCGTACCTATATAATATTTATATATGTTACATGTTACATTTTTTTATTTTTTTTTTTGCTGTACATTGTTGTACCTACCTATCTAAAAATGGGTTTGATTTTCGGCTCTACCTACATAACTATTTGGTAGATTACTAACTACTTAGTATGTATTGTTTTTATTCATACCCTCCCCACTAATTTTACAATAATAAATTACTTTTGCCGGTAATATTTCTACGTTTGCTCCGGTTAAACGCTAAAAATGATGAATGAGGCCTGTAGGTGATATTATATTTTATCATATAGTTTAAATAATTAAGTTATTATTATCATAGACAATAATATATAATATATTTATTTGTATAGTGTATACATTATACTCGAGCGTCGTTACAACAATAATATATTCCATTATTATTATTATTTTTTAATTCAAAAATTCTCCGTCCCATAATATTTTATGCCAACCACAAGTCGACTTGGTAGCGGTCTTGATTTTTGCTTTTCCCCTGTTACAGTGATTGGAGTTTAATTATTCATCAGTCATCACCATTTCAAATAATTCGATATATTGTTAGGATATTTTTAAATATCCGATTTTGTAGTTGTCCAAATGATAGTTGAAATAATATTGTTGCCCACGCAACAATGCCGTAGGAGAATACGATAATAATATTTAGTATTGTCTTACTTCAAATGGCCATCGTGTATATATATTTGTATACATATATACATGAAATAAATATTATTATATATTATATTAAGTGAATCGATTAACAAGACTAATCTCGATGATAATATTATATACGCAGAACAACACATATTATACTACCTAATTTCCTATATTAAACATTTTTAACTATATATTATTATTATATTTTATTTTTTGTATATACAATAATAAACGTATGCATATTTTATGTATTATTTTCAAATGAGCTATATAATTATTAATCTAATATATTATATATAAAGTATAATAATATTACCTGTTTAACAATTTTTTACACGCCTTTACGGTTACCTTTAAGTAAATATATTTTTTCATTGTACTTTCTCTATTTTATGATATTATGCTTGTGTAGGTATGTATATATGATATACATATAGGTACATATATATCACATAATGCGGTATAAGGTATAAAATATGATGCCTAATTAAATATACACAATTATATATTTTTTTTTTTTGTTTCCTATATTATAATAGTTTTCCATAAAAATGATATTATTACCTAAATGGCTATTTACTAGTGATGGGAATTATTCGAATATTCGATTGTTCGAATTCGAATAGTTTTACTGTAAATAATTCGAATATTAAAATATTCGGATATCAGTATTCGAATACCATAATACTATACATTTTTTTAGCCGTTTTTCCATGATAAGTCTTATACATTTATTCTATTCTTTAACCAATTTTCGCTCCCGCCAGCCATGTATTCCTTTTCCTTTACCCTTTTAATAGATTAGGTTAGCCGTTAGGTGTACGTACATAGGTATAATATTTAAATAATTGTTTTAAAAACAATGTTTTGATAGTTTTGTACAATAATATATAATAATAATACCTAATATAATATTAGGTATAACAGAAAAATAATAAATAATAATTGAAAAATAAATACCTATACATTTATAATAGTAATAGTTTACGCGATAATTTCTTCAATAATAATTAATAAATAATTGTAAGTACGTCGAATTTCATCGATAAATATCATCGAATATAATATTATTAATATTATGTATATTGATTAATATTGATTTTGTAGTATCGAATACTGATAATCGAATTATTCGAATGTACATTATCCCCTACTATTTACCCCAAAAAATATTTAAAAAATTGACTTCGATAAAACTATGTTGTATTTGGATAAAATTAAACTCATAAACCATTTCATATTTCTTTTTTCGCCTCACAGTTCACCATGTTTTCTGGTGCCGAAAGGGACAACAATGCACCCCCGTAACTCATATTATGCTCAAACGCATTTTCTACGACCTTCATTTAACGTATTTTATTTGATATTAATTATTTTATCACTTGTAAAAACAAAAAATAATATGGACTGTGTAATCAGTTTTTTTTTGTACCCCCCTCCCAGACCGATTTATATTTTTGAGGGCGCCCTTGCTTTCCGACAAAACGCACAGTTTGTTTTAAAAAGTATATAAATATGAACTTTATTACAACCATAATGTATATAAATACATTATTTAATTAAGTACATAATAACACGATAATCACCACTAAATTTTAAAGTAAGTTCAGTATTGTACTTGGCATAACATTAATAATTTTAAATACAATTTGTCAATTATTACAAAATCTTTTTAAGAAATGAACAGATTTATATTAATGGCGAAAATCAATCATCTACATAAAACTAACATAACTACGTATTCATATTATTATGTCACTGATTATAGATAAAATACAAAGTTTAATATGACCAAAGATATAGGTATATATATATAAACTAATTAGGGTTAGGATTTATATGCAATAAAAAGTGGTAAAATATGCAACTGAAATTAAAAAAAAAAATTATGACTGTTTAGTACAAATGCTTGGTCACAAAAACTAAAATAGTGTTTTTCATCGGCCTTAAAAACGGTATCAACAAATTTGACATATCGTCGAAGTTTGAATCACAAACAACACTTAATGCACTCACAATTTATGACCACGACTTGGTGTGTTAAAACGCATACTAATTTTTCTATAGGTAGTGTAGTTTTAGAATAATTTTATAAATATTAAACCTAATCTACTGTTGCAGTTGTGAATATATACATAAATTAACATAAGGTATGAATTAAATATTACTATACTTATTTACTACCCAGTAAATTAAATATTCAGGTATTTTTTAGATGAATAATATTCTATTTTCTTCTCTCTCCGGCCATTACCGCTAAAATATACCATAAGACGTCGATTTACGAGTGTTTTATCTTATAATTGAAAAATGCAATAATATTAAGTATTTTATTCAAAAGAGGCAGAGACATTTTTAACAGAGAGCAAATTAAAATAATCACCATTTGCTCCAATATGAAATAATTTGTGAACATAATAAACAAAGATAGTAATCAGAAGTTGCATAAAAACATGCCGATGCTTATAAATTCCAACCCTAACAATGATTAAGTATACTAATCTGTACCTATACACCTCAAATATATAATACTAGTATGCAGTAACATCTTAATACTCTAATTGACGAAGAATGAGTGATTTCAAAAGCCTTGCCTCGCAGGTCACATTGTTCAACTCTTTTTTGCCAGTCGATTCTTCTTCATCGGGCATTGTCGCTACCTCCTTGCCGTGAACTAAACATATAGGTAACATAACGATAAATAAATAAATTTATATTTATTTTATAATTTTAATTAATAATTTCATAAACTCCAAGGTGTAACAGAAAGACTTTACGTATGAAATACATTTTGTTTTAATCAATATTTTTAAATGTTTTCCGAAACATTTGTTTGAGTCAAGATGAAGTCTACGTTTTTAAATATTTTTTTTTTTTTTTTGAAGTTAATTATTTTGAAAAGTAGTAACTTCTTTCAAAATATTCTTTTTGGGAATGTTCAAACGTACATAAATCTAAGATTATTTACTTTAAATATAATTTTCTTAATTTTTTTCACATTATTATTAATTTTTTCATTTATCAGATATTTCTGTTGCACACTAGTGTGTTATAATGTTTATTGTGTTCAACTTACATTCACATTGATTAAGAAACACTAAACATTCATTGTAAAACGAATCCCTCATGACGATTATGTGTTTCGTCATGTTTTCGATCAATGACAACATACATCGTTTAGCATAAAACCTGAAACAAAATTGTTGGAAACTTTAAGGTTCTTAAGAGTACGCTAACTATGCTTTTGTTGTCCCTATCTTACAATTAACGTACGACAGAACATTTTTGCTCACTGATTTCATTTGTAAGCCGTTAGTTTAAATATTGGAGTGAATTGTTCTATTATCAAACTTTTAGGTAAGAACATTATATCTGTATTTAAGCTTTGACGATTTTATTGATATTTTAATTTTCAAGCAAGAAAGCGTGTTTGAAATATTATCACAAATTAAAAATATTCATATCTCCCTTAAGAATTAAAATAATGAATAAAATACTGACACCTAAACACAGATTTCCTTACCTAAAGATTTGATATGGGTCAATTCATTCTAATACCAAAACTTATAATATACAATCCAAACAAGTGAACGAAAACTGAAAAGTGGCTGTCACATGTTTCTAAGACTGGGATAACAAATGCATGGGTAGCGTCCTCTTAAAGCGTTTTAATATTGCTACCAAATTGGTGAAAGCAAAATACTAATATGTTTTAATGTACCACGTGTCCATTCCCAGCTTTTTATTATAAGGTTCTAAACTTTTAATAACTCTTGAAATCCCAAATTCATAATTTCCTTTTGAGCAGTATAAGGTTCTAAAAATCATAAATCTTTTACATTCACTTTAATTATTAAAAGTTATTTATTTTACCCAATAACAAGATTGACTATACAAAGGTGAAAAACTTTTTTTTCAGGCTCTTGATAATATAGTCGCTCTTCTTCCTTTTCAATTTTTCTCATTAACTCTTCAGCTTCTTCGTTCTGCGCAGTCATTATATGAGACACACATAGGTTGGCTAATACAATGGCACTCACTGACAGAATCTGAAAATGAATATTAATCATACATCCGGTATAATGTTTTTCAATGATTAGATGAATTTATTTATTTATTTTACAATGTCTAATAATATGTAATGATATTTACATTATTGAAATTTTTTTTTACAATTGGTTCATAAAACGCAATTGCTTCTTTGAATTTTTCTTGCATAAATAAAACATGAGCAACATGTAATCGCCAAGTATCATTTTCATTACAAAATTCAACGGACTTATAAAATATAGTTTCTGCTTGAGCGTAGTTTTCTAGATCCCAGTAGATTTTTGCTTGGGCCATTGTGACTGGTATAAATCTACAAACTGTTTAAAAGTAAATTCTAATCAAGTGAGTAATTTATAAATGTATGTATACTTTTCAAGAGTGTTTTCATAATCAAGTAAAGCACTCTTAGCTCTTTTATCGTCTCTGGCTTCTCTTGACTCTTGTACGGATCGTGTGGCCTTACGTAAAGAATCAACTAATTTATTTGCCATATTGTCAAGTTTACGATATGCTTCATCGGGTGAAGTCTGTTGTGCGATAACAGCATCCACAAATTCCCTTATGTACTAAAAATAATATTAATAAATAATAATGTAAACACACCATGTCAGACTAATTATTTGTTTTTACGTTTGATAGATATTTGTCCTTGACTGGTGAGTATGTTGATATAATTTCAGAAGCCAAATCGTGGTATCCATGTTTGCAATATAAAATCAATAGATTTTGTAACGTTTCTTGTGGATAAGTTGACTGTTGCATGAGGAACTGTAGTTTATGAAACCCTTGTGTAGGCGACATGTCCACCGAACATAATGCCTGGTTATGCAATGTAACAGAGTCCAATTCTTCTTCCCATCTTGGAGGCATGTCAGTCATTGCTTCCCTTGCACTATCAACTGAAAAAAAATGTCTGGATCATACACTGAACATCGTTCAAATAAATTTTCTGTTTTACTGTCATTCTTTTCAAACTGGATTGCGGCTTTCAAATTGAATGCTTCAACCAAGGCTGATTCATGAAGTGTCAGAGTGTTACCGACGCTACGAACTTCAATCCCTTCAGTTGTCATGCCAATTCCTAGTTCAGGGTGTTCTCTAATACCTCTATCGATAATATCGCCTTCAAGTAATGAATAATTCTGAATTACTTTACTAATAACAGTTTGTAATTTAATATTTTTAAAAAATAACCTATATGTTTCAGTGATGAGGTGAAATCCTTAAGCTTATAATAGCACAGAGCTACACTATATGACAAATGGGGCCTATAACCAAGCATTGTTTGTGCATTTAAAAATTTCTGTAATGCTTCTTCATACCGGCTCTCCTAAAAATATTATTTTGTATAGGTCAGTCCTTTAACAATTCATCAAAATTAATAACACACCTTGTAGAGAAGGCATCCATAGTTTATATCTGTGTCTGGATCATCATTAAGCCCAGAATTGGTTTCCAACAAAGACCGGGCACCTGCTATGTCTTCCATACCATATCTAATTGCAGCAGTTAGTTTTCGAACCTAACACGGTAACACAGTGTAAATGCAAGTACCACCGTTGCTCTCATTGACTATACCTTATTTTCATAACCACTAGTAGTAATTCCGTTTGCTGCTCTTAGAGCATCTTCATATTGTCCAGCAGAGTAAAGTGATTGAGCATGTTGTAGCTTATAATCAGTTTCCTGAGGCCACAGTGCGGCCAGCTGTTCATATATAGTTGATGCGTTTTGGAAGTCATCTGTATAGTAGTAGCAGTAGGCTAATAAAGATAACCCAGGCCTCGTCTGAATGCATTTAAAATGAATAAATTTTAATTTAAAAAAATATGTCTGAAAATGTTATTTATATATTTCACAGTAAGAAATTTACATTTCTATTGTTATCGGACATGTTGCTAATGATTTCAATAACATCATTATACTGTTTTTCTTTAATCTATATCATAAAAAAATCACAAATTATATTTATGTTATAGAATAATAATACAAACAATCAACTTGTTTTAAAGTTTTATTTTTAGATTTACCAATGTGTAAATAACTGTAGTGTAGTTACCATCAGCAATTTTTGACATTTTAATTAAATTATTACAGAAAAAAAATTAACAACAATACAATAGTAAAACAATAAAAATCAAAACATATTATTCAAAGGGTAAGGACCTTATATAATATAATATAACATTATAGAAACATGGCCATCACAAATGTACATGGTAACAATATAGTAAGTTGCTATGGATACCATGCCATAACAATGTTATAATAAATACAATTTTTAGGATTTGTTGTGTTATCACTTTTTAACAATTATTAAAAAATAATAATATTCCCTTTTGCAGTCTTATTTAACATATAACACCATGGTATGAAAATAAAAAAAATTGTTCTTCATATATCCCAATGATTATTTAAGCTGATTTTGTACTCAGTGTATCAGCATCGCGAACCATGGATAAGTTTAAATCAGAGTCACTATGAGTCAAATCCGATTCCACAATGTCTTCTAATATTTGTGTATTAAGGCATGCCTCCTTTATATCAACCTATTGATTATATAAAAATAAAATAAATAATTTAGTTTATTTTTATTATCATTTTTAAAGCTTGTTAGGTAGGTAGTGAAATTTAAATAATAAATAATAATAATCTTTTTAAAAAGTGCAATCTATACTAACATTGCTATTAGCAAACATTGGTATAGGCCCCAATGGAGGAACTTCAATCAGTGGTGAAGGTTTATTTTCTTTGTTATCACTCCAAGACTGCTTTTTACGGATTGGTGGTCTCATTGGACTAGTCGCCATGTCTTGACAACTTATGCCATTTATAATGTGATGATTTTTTATTAAAGACTAAAAATAAAATAATATTAATTATAATGTGTGTATTAATTATTGTATGATGTAAATTTATATTTTCACTAACCGTTTTGTGGAGATCTATCAATTTGCAAGCTCTTCCTAGTATATAGACAAGATTAACAATTTTCAATGTGACTAGACATGTAAATGTAAAAAATAGTAGAATTATGGAAGCTAGTCTTCCATCAATAGACACACATCTAGTTAGAACTTTAATCATAACTACTCCTAGCGGAATTGGAATGAAGCCCATTCGCCTTGCAACCAAATCTGAGTGATCCGTGAATGCCTGTAAGATAAAATGGTTTAATTAAAAATAAGTTCAACAATTTAGCAAATTATGAACAATCACCTTTGTATGACGCGACTGTGCAGTGTCATAAGCAAAGCTCAATACATAGTCACTATACACTGACAAGTTTATTTCATTGAACCTAGTAATGAATGCATGTTTTGTCCAATCAATTAACATTTCTGATATCATGACATACATGCAGTCAAGCATTAACTCCCAAAATGATTCTGAAACAATATAATAAAATAAAATATTTGAAAAAATTACCAGATAATAAATCTTAATTAAAGAAACAAAAATCTAAATCTAAAATTATTTTATGGACAAACACAACAGATAAATTAAAAACAATACATAATAATATTATTTTATTTTATCATACAAAACAAATTTAGGTTCTTATGAAAGATAATTTTAGGCATTAGTATTTGTCTTTAATGTTTCTTCATAAATTAAACTTAAATGTGTTCATAGTGAAATAATTATTAAATACAAACCACTAGTCCATTGGTATTCTTTCATTGTTTGTACTACAACTATAAGTAATAATATAAACAGATGAAATCGTTCACGGACATCACTGCACGACAATTGGAATAAGTTTGTTTTGTCAAACTTTTTGAACACGCTTCCTTTCAGCTCTACGAACTAATAATAATTAAAAAATGTATTCAGTTATAATATTGCATTCACAACAAAAAAATGAAAAAATATTATTTTTCACATTACATTATTAGACATCATGATTGCTAGCAATGCCTTGTGACTAGAATTAATGGCTACATTCAATGTAGTAGCTTGGCATAATACAAGTATACCATGTAAAACTGATATTGAATGTCAAGGAGAATTTCAAATTGGTTTTAGGACTTTTATTGTGTTAGGTATATCATATAAAAATACCTGAGATATTTTTTAAAAGGATACAGACATAAAACACAGCCATTATAAAATGTGGTAAAACCCCAAAGTGTTCACGGCGACTGGTCTTAGGTTCAGTAGCGGTCCAAAATAATGCATCCAAAATGTCTTGACCAAATGACGAAAATAACCTGTCACCGACCTTAAGTTGTAAAATATTATAAAAATTATGTTCACAAATAAAATGTAGCAAGCTAAAAGATATTTGATAATTACCTCTAACATATTAAAAAATATGTACAACTTAATAACCGATTGGCTTTTAATTACATGATACATCATTGACGTATCCCACGGCAATAACATCATTGAACATGTTATTAATACAGCCATCTTTAATAAGTCGCATGTCTCCGCTGCAGATAACCGTTTTTTTTTATGTTTGTCCCTAAAAAAAAAATGAACAATGTATTTCAAATAATTATAACAGTTTGAATAATACTTACTTGAATTTTGAAAAGGAACTACAAATTAATGATTTTAATGCTACTAACGCCCGTAATGGCAGGAATGTATAGACAAATAGGAATGAATCTGCACACTGAAATTATAACATAATACAATTAAATCTCTAGGGTACTAAGTGGGTTGTATAATATGTTATACACTATGTTTAATAATAGTAAAACATTAATTGAGACTTGCATACCTGACAAAAGCCATAGAACATGAATCGTTCTACTTCTAAGGGTATTTTCATAAAAGTATACACTTTTTCTCTTCTGTCTGAAAATTCTTTTTCGTCATTTTCAAGAGAATAGCCACGTTTAAATTCTACACGGATGAAATCCCACAAAGAGCCTAAAAAAATTCAAAAATAATCATTTACATGAATAATTAAATAATATTTTGTACTGCTTAAAAGTAAGAAGTCAACCTAAAAGTAATAGTGAAAAATATTAAAGTCTAACATTAAAATGTTATATTTAGTTCAAATTGAAGGGACTTATTCAAAAAATACATTCATGTCATAAATAGTAAAAACTTAGCATTACTCTACACCTAATACTAACAAATACCTAGGTGTTGTTTGATTATAGAAAATCTTCAATTAACTACAGAGTACAGACAGTAACCATTAGATTATAATATATTATACACTAAGTAATATAATATTTTGGTATATTTCTACTTTATCAGTTACCCTATTTTTTTTTAAATGACAGGAGCCTTTAGATGGAGTGTATTATAGTTAGGTAGTATAATAATTTGTTTAACATTTTTATTTCTCAAACATTGCCAAGATCTTGAACATAAAGAAATGTGGTTATAATTGAATTAACATGAACCCAGGTTTGTTAATTATAATAATTGATAAATCTATTAATAATGTGTTTAATATTATTATTCTTTTGTTTATTTGTCATACAATTAGGTGTACAGAAACTTGTTTGGTTAATAACAAAAATTAATTTACAAGTACAGTAAACCTTAGGTAAGACGGAAACTCCGGTAACACAGACAATTTCTTTGGTCCCCATTCAAATTCATAATGAATGTGAGCCGCTTGAAGTCGGAAACTCCTTGAGATGTTAAAATTGGATGGTCCCAAGCGATTTTGCTTAGAGAGGTTTTACTGTATCATGAAAAACTAAAACTGCATTATACTCTATTCATTATAAGATTAGACTGGGTGGAGACAAAAAAATGTCAGATTCAACACATGTAAATATTACCACAGCCATTGCCAAATTAACGACAACCACAATTTGTACGAGTGTGAATTCTTAAATCGATACTTTACTATTTCAATAATCTCGCAATAATCACATTTAAAAAAATCACAGGGGCTTACAATTTGTAGTAACTGATGGAAAAACCAGGGTGAGAAGTAGTTCAGTGAAATGCAAATTACGAATGAGAATCACAAGTCAGGGCTGTTAGAGTCGAAGAGTGGGGGGCGAACACGTACCAGAGTTGTTGGATTTCCTGGTGGCGCTCTCGACTTTGCCCATCTCGCGAAATATGATGAAAACTCGCCTTCTGTCAGGTACCAGCTCAATTCGATTAGGCGAAGGCGACAGACAATCGACGAATACAGCACTCCAGTGCGGCGGCGACCGGGCAACTGCAGCAGACAGCAGAAGCAGACGATATCATCATTATCACGGTCGTCGTCCGAACTCGGAATTGTCACGACAGGTTGCTCTAAATGATATCACGACTATATAAAGATAATATTATAGTGATTGCCCAAGCCCAACCGGCATAGCCGCTATATTATGTCACAAGCGCGATTGAAGTGAATAAAGATAATAGCCATAGATCTTTTAACGATTAATGTTGTTAATAAAGGTCTGTGATAATCATAGAACAATATGGTGATAATAGTTTGCTATAGTATTTTGTAATTTTGTCCTTAATCGTGGTTACTATATCTACAATATTGTCAAATGTCAATCAATTAATACAATTATTTATTAAATCAAAACATTTTTAATTTGGTAACTGTGTCAAAATTAATAGTTAATACGTTCATTACACACCAAGCGACATAACGGACTGTTATATTACTTTTATTACATAATTCCTAGTGCTAAAGGGATCACGACGGATGGATTTGTTTCTATATTTTTTTTTTTATAGAATCAAAAACAGGGACTCTAAAACCAATTTGAGATAAAAACTCGGAGCAATTAAACATGCCATTTAGTATTTATTAATTTGTACTTTGTAATTAGTTCAAGAGTCACAAACCACGAACAAAACATCAAAATTTAAAATACTTCCTGCGAGTAATGAGTGATACAAGACCTTGTCAGTTTGCAACATCTTCCATAAGGTATAATACTGGTGTAGAGAATAATAGTTAACAAATACAAGTATAGTTTAGACTGAACGACTAAAACTAATGTTCTAATGCATACAAACTTTATTTATTTATTTATTTATTTGTAAAAGATTTTTACAAACTGTGTACACAATAATAATACAATGAGTAAATACTAAATTGGTTGACATTTGTGTACTAGACGTGGCAGTGTGAGGAAAGGGAGCTTCCATAGACACTACTTCCAATTTATGAACTATTTATTTATAGGTACTAAATATTAATTAGTAGATCACGTGGCTATTTACATTTGAGACAACGGAGAGGGTTGTCAGATAATGTTCGAGAGTAGAGTTTAGATATGAAGGGGTTTGTATGATTGACTGAGTTTTTATGAAATTTGTTATAATGATAGGAAGCAAGTGTGGATATTGTTGGTATGCTGAAGTCATGATATAGAGTACAATTGTTGATTACCAGAGAGCATTAGAAAGGACACTAAGAGTTATTGATTGAATATTGAAACATTTAAAATTTGATAGGGTTTGAATTTTTTGAGGTTTCCCAGAGTTGGATGCCATATCTCATGGTGGGATGTATATATTATTTGTTAGTAAATTAGGGATTTTGGATCAGAGAAATGATCTTAGTTTTTGGAGTCCGAGGTTAAGCGATGTACTTTTTGATTTAATGGGTAGCCCAGTCTTTTGTCGAGAATTAGACCTAGGTATTTAACAAAATTGTTTATGAGGATTAATTGGTTATTTAGGTGAACAGAAAGAATATTTTTAAGGCTGAGACTAAAAGTGATGTGGGTGGATTTGCTTTGTATTTTAATTTTCCATATACTGAACCATACTTGTAGCAGGGTTACGTGATCTTGAAGGTTGTCTGTGGCAGTAATTATATTGGTATCATATGAATGTGGTTTTATCATCGGCGAAGGTAGCTACTGTAGTATTGTTGGACTGTGGTAGGTCTGCTGTACAATTCATACAACTGAAACACATTATGTTGACTATATGATATAGGCACAAACTATATGTCGAGATTGTGTGTTGTCATCAATTATATTTTACATTGATTTTTACTAAAATATTGAGCTATTTTATTATACAATTCTAATAATAATTTAATGATTGTACCTAATTGTTTTTTGTTTTTTAAATTTAGTTAGCAAGATACAGTATCTGACATAAATATGCGGCTGATCCAATGAGAAGATTATTCTCTGCTGTTTGGAAACACTTCAACTGAAAAAACTGTTCTTCTTATTATAATTGTTTATCCCAGGTAGTATAGAAGAGTCCAAGAATTACTAATGTGTCATTTTATTATTTTAAAAGTTACTTTATCAACACAATATTTTAGTTTACATATTCAACCTTAGCAACAAATGGAACATTGTTGATAATTATATTCATAATTATTTCAGTTTTAATTGAACCCAAAATAATTGTGAAGTTACATTGTTGAAACTTCAGATTTTAATTATATACTATGAATAAACTGAGATATAGGTTATAAAGGTTATATACTTATATAGGTTAGTTATTGATATTACAGATGTTGTACAACATCAAATTTTGCTTTGATTAGGTCTATTTTGCAATATGCATCTATTGCTTTTCATCCATTTCATATAGTAAACAAATCAATTAAAAGAATCTATACAAAAAAGGTTTTTACATGTAATTTATTTTAAGTTAACTAAACCTAACTACTATACCGATATAATATATTACTTAGTGACCTTGGTTTTCTCTTTATTGTATGAGATTCTAATGATATAAAATGGATTAATAGTTTGTTGATTGTCCTAAAATTTTAAATAATTTATATTTTTATGTTCCATTGATAAATTTTAACGACACTCATTTTATTTGATGTACTTACTCAAACTTGAGAGGCAATATTATATTCATTAAACGTTTGCTACTTGCACGAAACTCTTTCCAACCTAACCTATGTTTAATATTTATCACAATAGTTTAATTTTTTTAAAGGACAAGATATATAATTTATAGTCTGAACTTTAAAGCTTATTTTTGAATACTTGATAATATTATTGACTATCGTACTTTTATAATATGAGTTATTAGTTTCACATTAAGTTTAACTATGTATTTCATATTGAATATATTATTTATATTAATAATAACAAAGGTTGCCACACACAGCAGCAGTGGTGGTAAAATCCTACTGTCTTGGTAGTGGCGGTAAATTGTGTCCAGCTGCATGTCACTAGTCACTACCTCTGCAGTGTATGAGAACCCTTATGCTGTTTGCCGTGTAACTGTGTAAGGCTTAATCATTTATTTATTTATTTATATAAATTAACGGGTTGGTTCTTATCAAAATTTTAAAACAATACGTATGTACTAAAAGTAATCAAAACAATATAAAAAAAAAATTGAATTGAAAAATATTTGGGCCTCATTGGCTAATTATGTCATTTGTAAGACCAGCTTGTTGTATAAATAGTTAGGCGCACACATTGAGATATGGAATGGAGAAAACGTATGTAAGTTAGCCCTTGGAACCTTAAGATTGACCTCAATTAATAAATCAGGATCATCTATCTCCCCACTTATGAGTTTGGATAGGAAAAATAAGTTAGTCATAATAATTAAATTAAATATAACACCTAATTTGTGATAGTTATTTGTTATACTTAAAATATGTTCACAAGAATTATACTTGCATTTATTTGTTATTTGTTATAGTCACCATAAAGAACTTCCACATAAACTTGGATAAAAATAATATTGACTAACACGGACTTCTCAACTATGTTTTATTCAGTTAATTTGTCTATTCCATCATTATCAGTTTCAGATGGAAAATATCTACATAACTGAATAATAATAATTTGATCATTTTTGAAAGTGATTATGATTGCAAGGAATGAAATATAAACATTAAATTTAAAATTATTGTTAAGATTTTGAGAATTTTTTTCAGTTTTAACTCGCCAGTATTTTATGTCTAAAAGTATTGAAAGTATTACATGAATATTTGAATATTCATAGCATTGTAATTATGATACTGTATTATTAATCTGGATATTTAGGGCAAACATTTTCATCTAGTAATCGTATTAAATATTCAAATATAATTAAACATGATTTTATATTTAACTTTGATTGAAACAACAATTAACTATTCTACTAATAGGTGCAACCACGAATTTTCCAGAGAACTTGCACGTTAAATTTTCTGAAGCCAATACTGTAATAATGACCTAGTCTAACACTTTCACGCATAATAGCCAAGTACATAATTTTTTATCACATACCTTTTAATATACTATAATAAATTGTGCACCATTTAAAGATGTTGATCATGGTTAGTGTAGAAATTATACACTAGACTCATAGTAAACTGTGGCCATTGAAGACAGTTATTATTTATTTAACATTATTAAGCCTATTATAAATCTATTACATTTACAATTAGCACAATGAATATCTTAATATGTTATAAATAAAATATAGTACCTTCTTTATTATAATATTTAATTGATAATAAATATTTGTGTATACCAGAGAAAGATATATTATGTACCTACTTTAAAGAAAATGAATCTGCTTGGATACAATATTGCTGTCTTTTTAGTTTTCATTTTATGTATACCTACATCAAAGTATATTGCATTTTACGTCATCAGTATCAGTATGTTGGTATTTGGTATGATATAGTAATTTGTTTTAGATTTCACAATATAGGTTCAGCACTATATGAAATAAAGATTGAACTGACAGAAAAGAATAGAATACCTATATAAGAAAATGTATATGTTTAATGTTTATACAAGCTTCCAAAGTTGTTACCTAAGTTATAAAATATTAGTAGGTTGGTATAAAAAATGGCAAATGAAAAATTAAAGAAAAACAATACATATTTAATACAACTATAACGCATTAATAATATATATTCCATCCCTATCCAAATCGAAATAAAGTAATAAAGTACTTAGGCATAACACTCGATAAAAGACCTGGGGCCCCCACCTAAAAGAAAAAAGAAAATCAGCGAACAATAGACTTTAACTCCAAAACAAACTTATTATATATAAGTCAATCCTAAGACCAGTCTGGTCTTATGGAATAGCAATATGGGGTCCGGCCAAGCCCTCGAACATTAGACCAATTCAGGCTTTCCAATCAATTGCGCTAAGGTTAGTAACCAAAGCCCTTTGGTACATTTCAAACCTTACCTTACACAATGGCTTACAAATATTAACTACAACTGAACTAGCCAAAACAATGTATAACCGTTTCCACCAAAATTTAAGCACTTATAACAATACTTTAATACCTATCACACTTGTCCTCCCTCACCCTCACAAAAAACCCACCACGCAGACTAAAGCGAAAATGGTGTAGAGACCTTTTAAATTAGTAAAGGAGGTGTTACCATTGGGTTTCTTCCTCATCACATTATTCATGCTACTTAATTCTATTTTTTTTTTATCATATTTGCTTATTATTATTATTGTGTAAAGATTGTAAATTGTCTTTCTTGCCAAAAAAAAAAAATAATAATAATAATAATATATATATATTTATTATTTTAATTTCGTAGGAAACAATAGTTTGTTCAAAATATATTGCAAATCTATAGTTTTATTAAAATTACCTATCTAATTTTTCTTTTAATATTTAATACAAGATTCCTCATGAGTTTATATACTTATATCAGCAACAACAAATATCTACCAGAAGTCAAATTCAATTTTTATGATCTTTTGAAGTTCAAATTTTTACAACACGGGATATCACATCTTGATTTCTCATTGAACGATTATCTTATTTTGTGGTAATTAAAAAACGAATAACTGAAGATGTTTGAAATGTACACAAAATGTTGGTTTCATCATTTCCTATACCTACCTACTTGAAAGTAGTAAATTTCATAGAATAACACCAATACACCATACATTATAGTGACCTACTGACCCACTTGTAACCTACTATACAGCATAGCGACATCTACTAACCCTATTTTTTTTATCTTATTAATTGTTTATCCAAAATTAAAAATGCACGGTAACGGTATCTATCCTTTTTTTTTTGGGGGGGGGGGGGAAATTATACGCAATAACTCACTTGGCTATTATGGTAACTATCATTAAAATAATGATTAAACTCAACTTCCGAGACTTTTCTTTAAGAGAATGGAATCCCGCAAAGGTCAAGTCTATCTACACAGAATAGGTTAAATTTCCCCTATTCTGTGCTATCTAGAACACTATTTTTACGTTAGCCATTAACGACATCTGCAACTCGATCACTAGTCCCATCATTGCCATACGGCCATCGATCATCGTCGACGATAAACGCGATAATAATAATTTATAACCATTTTCTTGGTAAATAGGTAGTAATGTAGTACTAATAAGTAATGAGTACCTAATAACATTTTCAAATAGTGAAATTATAAAGTATAATTGTACAGCCAATAATAAAATATAATATAAGCAAAGAGTAAAAAACTAAAAACATAAATGATAAATATAATTAAATAATATAATTGTTATACCGTTGAACCATGTCGCATGACCACTACGATGGCTTACGGTATTTTCATTTAACAAGGATTACAAATAAAAACAAATTATGAATCAAAGGAATTTAAAAAAAGTAGGTACCTATTCAATTAAATAGTATTCAGTAGTAAACCGTACAAATACTCCTGAGTATTCAAAAAGGACTAAAGTATATGAATACTTTTACTCAAATACTTACTACACTGCCACAGTGCCACCTACGGTGAGTATAGGTAGAAAGTTAAAGGTACATAATATACGTTCAATTTTTTTTTTGGTACACAACACTACATCAGTTAGGTATATGGACAATGGACATACGGTATTCCTATATTTACATCTTACGGATTACACAGTGTTTATGCATGTGTGGATAATATAAATTAGATAGGTACTTATACCTATTATGCGTTTGCACACAATTTAGTAAGCTATTATTTCTAGGTTATTTCACTTTTAAAAAATTGTACCTATTTAGTTTATTTTAAATAACTCAAAATGTTAAAATAAATTTCACTAAGCATATTTTTATTTATTTAATTGAAATTCGTGTACATATGGATCATGTGGGGCCCAGGAGTTCCAACCTCCATAACAATTTATGTAAAAGTGAAAAAAAGAAAAAAAAGAACGAAACAATTAAAAATAACATTTTTGTTGTGTACACATGATTAAAATAAAATCATTTTGCCTTGATAGAGATAAATGAATACAATGTTATTTCTATAATACTAATAATTCATCATTAGATTCCAATAACCATTGCAAAATGTTTTTTTTAAATAAATTGATGGGGAGGTTTATTAGGTAGGTACTTTGTTACATAATATTTTGGTTCCAATTAATTCCAATTATTTCAAAATGTCCACCAAATGTCTTTTTTAAATCTATTTAATATGATGAAATTGTTTTGTGCGTATCTTGTGTTTACTCCGTGTAATGCTTTTTACAATTTACAATATTGTTAAACTAACAAATATATTTAACTCCAATAAGAGTATATTATTAAATATACATAATATAATATATAGTATTTATCAAAAAAAATTGTTTTATTTAAAATTGATTGAATGTGCGTAGTGTCACTTCTAAGCGTTTGTGTCATAAGTTGGCCATTCTTGCTGTAGATTATCTATAAACCGAGCATGAGATAAGCCGCCACGTACGGTGGATCCAAGGTTTATAGATAATATAAACCTTGCGGTGGATCCAGCTCCAAACTCAGTGATGATAACTGCGGTGTGTTTAATTAAATATCATCGGTTATCTATATTATAATAGAGCCTGCTCTAGTACACTACTGACAACATACAATTATTCTGATTACCTACGCCTATAATCACGAATCTGTGCAATAATATTACCTACCTACCTATCTCTATATTATAATGTATGAATAAATCCCCTACGGAGAGACACTAAATTCGTATTAGCTATAATATTATGATATATTATATCTTCTAAATATATAAGTAAAAAGTATACAACATAAGTTATTTTTTTAAATTAAATATAATATGGATCTTCCATAAAAAATACTTAAGATAAGCTAATGAAAGATTCTATGACGTTTAATGTTTAAACATAACATAATATGTATAATACTAAAATGTATATAGGTAATAGGCGTCTATAATATGGCTACAAAGCTATAATATAAGTTAATTAAGCTGATAGGTGTGTTAAGCATGTACCTACTAAATATATGTCCCTATCTGCTACTAACATAAAGTATTTATAATAATATTACAACATAAATTATAGATGTATTGTAATGTTGTAATTTGTAAACGAGGTATTATAAAGGTCAACTGTATTTTGTTATGAATGTCATGATGATAACATTTATTAACATAATATTATGTTGTAGGGTTACGTATATTGTTGTAATAATATATTTTTTAATTCATTTTTTTCATCGTGTATTTTCTTGGCCGAAACTTACAGTGTCTAAATAAGTCTAAAATATATCCTGCAATACTATATATTTTGTGTGATGTATATTGTATATAATTATAGTATATATTATAATATATCTACTCACACAAGCGTTTACTTAAAATATTATGCGTATAATTACAAGTATAGTTTATATGTATATTTATAATATCTATATTATACTGTAATACAAACAAAATGTTAATAATTATAAAACCACTTTGAAGTTTGAAAACTTTCGTTTACCTCGGAAAAGCGCAATATTACTTTTTTTTTTGTAGACCAGCTTGAAAAGTTCGAAACCATAACATTTTGGTATTTATAACTATGCATTTGGTTTATTGTTAAAACATTTTTTTTACGGTCATAAATAATGTATTATTTTTAACTAAAATAAAACATAGTTTGTTTACCGTTAGTTAATCGCCGTTTCTCATTTAATGTAATCGAAAAATAATTTTAAGAGATTTCGTGGTGCAGATCTCCAATATGAAACAATATTATGTTGATTAATATAATATAATAATATAATATAATATAATATAACCTTATTACCTTAAATAAGAAACAAAGAAAAAATTATTTCAATTTTGAGACGTGTTTTTACTCCCAGTGAAAACCTTGTTTGATCAATTTCGGATCTAATATTTTATTCTAATGAGAATGCGTGGAGATTATATTGGTAAAAATAATTGGATATTCAATTTCTGTAGATTTGTCAGTTTTTTGCTACAATAAATTTAGTTGTACGACATGTGACATATAATAATATAATATAGTATACATAGTAGTATGCAATATAATAATTAAATAATGTCTGTAGGTACCATTTTAGTATTAGGTTTACTGAAATAAATAAAATAAATATTATCATTTCAATAAATTACCTAGACCACGTTTATATCAATACATTTTTTTTCAGATAAGTAATAAACTTTATATATTTTCAATCATTGAAAAATTCTACTAAAAATT